AAGATACCACAGGAGGTGAATAATAATTATTAATTAATAATTAATTATTGATAATTAATAATAATAATTAATTATATAATTGTGAATAATAATTGATAATTATAATAATTATTGCTGAATAGTAATTAATAATAATCGTTATTGCTTATTATTGTTAATGATTCCAATAATAGTAATAATAGTATTAGTAATAGTAATTATTAAGTGTAATAGTAATAATAATATTAATAATTAATTGATAATTAATTAATATTAATATTAATAATAATAAATAATAATTTTTAGGTGGTGCGCAGTATAGACAAGAAGAATTACGCGTTCGAGCGGTTATACGATCTGGATCAACACCAGCTCGGGGAGCTGGTCAAGATGCCGAAAATGGGCAAACCGTTGTATAAATTCATTAGACAGGTGATTTTTTATTATGTATATTAATAATGTATATGTATATTAATAATATATATTAATAATGTATATGCATATTAATAAATTACAATAATAATAATTAATTAATTAAAGTTACCAAAACTGGAATTGACGACATTGATACAGCCAATAACGCGGTCGACATTGAGAATCGAGTTGACGATAACACCAGACTTTCAGTGGGACGAGAGGGTGCATGGTGGGCATTTTATTTTTTATTATTTATTTTTATTATTTTTTATTGTTATTATTTATTATTATTATATATTATTTATTATTATGTATATTATTAATGTATAATAATAAATAATAATTAAGGTAACGCGGAAGGGTTTTGGATCTTCGTGGAGGATGTGGATGGGGAGTTGATATTGCATCACGAGTACTTTTTATTGAAGCAAAAGTTTTGTGAGGATGAACACCAGGTGAAGATGTTCGTGCCCGTGTTCGACCCGATGCCTCCGCTCTATTTCATTAGAATTGGTTGGTTTTTTATTATTAATTAATTAATTAATTAGTTAATTGATTAATTAATTAATTAAAATAATTGTGATTTCAGTGTCAGACCGTTGGTTGGGCAGTGAGACGGTGTTACCGATCTCGTTCCGTCACCTAATACTGCCGGAGAAGTACCCTCCGCCCACTGAACTACTCGACCTGCAGCCATTGCCCATATCCGCGTTGAATAATAAACAATTCCAGTCGATTTTCGAACAGAAGAATATTAATGTATTCAATCCGATACAGACGCAGGGTGCGTTGTTTACTTATTTACTTTTATTGTTTACTTGTTTACTTTTGGGAATATAGCTGCAGTTTACGGACGGAAATAATTTTGCAGCTATATAATAAAAGTAGTAATAATAATGATTGGTAATGATAGTGATATATAAGAATGAGTTATGTGTATAATAATAATATTTATGTATAATAGTAACGTTTATATAATAATATATATAAATAATAATTATATCTATTATAATAATATACATAATAATAATAATAAAAATAAACATTGTAGTGTTTCGAACGGTATACGAGAGCAACGAGAATGTATTTATTGGAGCCCCGCACGGCAGTGGTAAGAGGGTGTGTGCAGAGTTGGCGATTTTAAGACATTTCGATAATAAACCCGATTCGAAGGCCGTGTTCGTGACGCCGATGGAGGATATGGCTGAGAAGGTTATTTATTATTATTTATTGTTATTATTTATTATGATTAATTAATTAATTAATAATAATAAATGAAATTTAAAGATATTCGCGGACTGGCAAGAGCGTATTGGAACGGTACTGGATAAGACGGTGGTATTGCTGACGGGGGAGCCGTCAACTGACCTGAAGTTACTGCAGAGGGGGAAGCTGATCATAGCGAGTCCGGAGAGGTGCGGTTATTATTTATTGTTGTTATTATTTATTATTGTTATTATTATTTATTGTTATTTTTTAATGTTATTTATTATTATTTATTGTTATTTATTGTTATTATTTATTGTTATTTATTATAATAGTAATAAGTAAATATAACAGATGGGATAACGTGAGCAGACGTTGGAAGCAGAGGAAGAACGTGCAGGCGGTGAAGTTGTTTATAGTGGACGATTTGCATATGATTGGGGCGAGTTGCGGGGTTGGTGACTTTTATTTATTGTTATTATTATTTATTATTATTATTATTATTATTATTATTATT